ACATTGCAAAGGAGCGAAACACAGGAGAAGCAGATGAGATAAAATAGATTTCCTTTTTCTCTGAGCCTTCTCAGCTTCCCAGGAGAAAAATCCTGGGCAAATGGATTTTTCAGAAAATATGAATGTGACACAGGTGCTTTTCCTAAGCCATTGGGGAAACAAAAAAAGTAAATTAATCAGTGTGTTTACTGTGCATTTTACTACTGCTTAATATCTTCTTGGAAAATGGGGACTGGAAAATGATGATAAACGTAATTAATGTTGTCTAACTGACAGTCTGACAAAGTGTTTTTCACACCAACAGCTCACTGGACAGATACAACTATGCTACAAATTCATTCACAACCAGAATAAAACCACACACAACTACAAGCTTCATAAATTATGAGTTTGGAGTTTGGAATAAAGATGACTCCTGGCAAGCAGTAAAGCTTCTGGCTTGCTTCCTTGCATTTTGTTGTTTTTCTGTTACATCTTTTACCTACTGATACAATTTAAAGGAGATTATTTCAGAATCTAGGCTAATATATGGTGGTTGCTGCACAACAAACATCTAGGGGGGAATATTTACAGAGGTCATTAATACATAAAGGAAAAGAGAAACCAAAGAAGAGGGGGGGAATCAGCTTCAATAACAGCTTATAATAACTGCACATTTGAATTGAATTAAAACTTTTCCACATCTATCTGCAGATGATTAAGTGTGGCTGGTTTAGTTCAAGCAGCTCTGTGCAGAGAAACCTGAACTGACGCGTTCCTCAGCCAATGTGCTGCTGGTGGCAGCGCTGCTTCAGGGCTCACACAGCCATGCCTGGCGTTTTCTTCATTGACCTCAGGAAATCCTGAAAAGGTTCTCCTACGAGTCACTGGGAATGTAAATGGGGGTGATCTTACTGCAGCACAACTAGAGACAAACATGCTCCAGGTGACATAATTCACCTCACAAGTGAAATGACAGCAGAGGTAGAACAAGAACAGTAGTTACAGGTAACCTCAGGGAAGGTGACTCCCATGGGAGTGAAACAGCAAGGGTGAGTCTATCCTTCTGCAAATGGCCAGAAGGGAATTCCAAAGAGGGCAAACTGCTCCATTCAGTGTCTATTATTCCTGCTCAGGGGAGGAAATGACACTTGGAACAAAATCAAAAGCATCAAGGAGCAGGACACCAGGAAGACTGAGAGAGCACAAGGAAACAGCACAGAAAGAAAAGAGTTATCTAGAAGGATGCTATCAGTGGAGCAATACAGGAGCCCTCAAGTCTGGGTGATGGAGCCACAAACCCAAATATGAGGATCAGAAAGGGTCAATAAGCAAAGCCTTGGAACAGAGCTGGGGCATGTGTTGAGAGAGCAGGGGTGAACCAGAGGATAATGGAGAACAGGGGCTGAAAGCCTGTGGAAAGGAAGACACAGAAGAGTGAAGGGGATCTCACAGAGGGGAGAAATCAGAGAACAACATGCGAAACCCTGAAGAAGGGAAAGAAATGCAAATAGAGAGGAGCCAAGGAGGGATGGCTGGAAGGCACCAGGGCACCTTTCCAGGGGGAATCATAGAATCTGAGAACGGTTTGGGTTGGAAGGGACCTTAGAGTCCATCCCATTTCACTCCCTGCCATGGCAGGGACACCTCCCACTGTCCCAGGTCACTCCAAGCCCTGTCCAGCCTGGAACACTTCCAGGGATCCAGGGGCAGCCACAGCTGCTCTGGGCACCCTGTGCCAGGGCCTGCCCACCCTGCCAGGGAACAATTCCTGCCCAATATCCCATCCAGCCCTGCCCTCTGGCATTCCCTCTTGTCCTGGCACACCAGGGCCTTGTCCAAAATCCTTCTCCAGCTCTCCTGGAGCCCCCCTAGGCATTGGAAGGGGCTCTGAGGTCTCTCCCTTTCTCTTCTCCAGACCAAACATCTCCAGCTGTCTCATAACGAATAAGGGCGGGAGATCAGGGCAGTGGCAGCTGCCCAGGACGCTCCAGCACCCGCAGTACTCCTGTGCCCTGGGGCCAGCAGCCTGTGAGGGACCAGACGAAAAGCACTCAAAAAATTCCACAGCCGGCCCAGCCGGTGCCGCCATTTCACTCCTGAGGGCTCAGGGGGAGCGGAGCGGGGCGTGGGCGGGGCCATAACAGACTCCGCCTCCTCCTCCGGCCGCCATTTCAGAGCCGCTCGTCCGGCAGCGGCCGAATGGCACCACCGCGGGGTACCGGCTGCTGCTCTCCGGGGTTTCGCAGCACTCACAGCCGCCGGAGCCTGGGACCCCAGCGGCTACGGAGCCGGCACTGCCCACTATGAGCATGTCCGGGGATTGCCGCTCACGGCTGTAACCGGGAGCGTGTATCCGAGATGGGGCGGCTTCTGGAGCTTCCCTGCTGTTCTCTGTGTGGCGTCTGCGCCGTTAGGAATCCATCCCTCCATCCTTCCACTCTCCTTCTGTAATCCGGAGTGCCCAGCTGAGGGCACTTGGCTCGTTCAGCTGGAGCAGAGACTGAGGGGAGGCTCCTCGGGGGCTGCAGCTCCTCCCCAGGGGAGGCAGAGGGGCAGGGGCTGAGCTCTGCTCTGGGACAGGGACAGGAGGCCAGGAAGGGCTGGAGCTGTGCCAGGGCTTGGCATGGAGCTCAGGGAAAGGCTCTTGCCCCCAAGGGTGCTGGCACTGCCCAGGCTGCCCAGGGAATGGTCCCGGCCCCAAGGCTGCCAGAGCTGCAGGAGCGTTTGGACAGCGCTGCCAGGGGTGCTCAGGGTGGGCTTGTTGGGGTGGCTGTGCAGGGACAGGGGCTGGGCTGAGCATCCCTGAGGGTCCCTTCCAATCCACGACATGGTGATTTTATGATTCTGTGTTTATTCACAGCCAGGTACCATTTGTCCTTATGCTGCTGCTTTCATCTGTCAATTCCTGCTGCATGTTTCCCTTCTGTGTCAGAACCATGTTCACCAAGGGCTTCCTCGGTCACCCTGTTTTCACTGAGCTTTTTTCATGTTTCAAGATATCCCAAGAAATGGCATGACCAAAAATACCTGTGGCATTCATGTTGCATTATCTTGAGGTAATTTTAGACATGACATTTGGCTTTACCTTGCTAAAGTTCCACATTATCATGAAACCTTCAGGCTGATGTTTTCATATTGAACTGCAACGCTGTAAGAGATGATTAATATATAGCAAAAAGTGATAATTTCTTTAAAAACTGATACACTGTTTCAAAGGAGCCTTTTAATTGCCAGCACATCTTAAATAAGTGTTTATGGTGATAGATGAAATTATGAGATTGCAAATACACTGTCAAAAGATAAAGGCTTTAATGCTCTGTGCAGTGTTGTGCTCATGGCCTCAGTTTTTGAAGATTTGAGAACCATCTCATGTCCAATAATGGGATTATTAATTAAAACCTGGATGACACAAGGAAAACATCGAATTTACAGTAAAAGAAAGCTGCCACTGATGTGAATGACAATATTGTGATTTTGGGGCTGGCAGGATGAGCAAATAACAGATGTACAAATGTCTTTAATGTTTTATGAGGCCTTGAAGGATATTTCCAAACCTGTCAGGCTTGGAATTTTCATGTGAGGATTCCCCATCTGGCACTGAGAGCTATTGTAGAAAGGGAAAGAAAATGGCCATGTTTTTAACATCACTCTTAATCTAACATCCTCAGCAGGCTCTTCATGGAGCTGAGCATTCGGATCTCTGTCACGCTGTGCCCGTTGCACATGGCAGAGGCTGGGCTGTCCCTGGCTGACACGGGGAAGATCAGCACATGGCCCAATGTCACAGGGCCACTTGAAGGGGCTTCTGGGCAGTTAAACCAGAAAACATCAGTGCAACCATCTTGGGAGTTTGCCACACAAGGTCTTGCTAGAAGCCACATCAGGATAGGCAGAGAAAGATATTTGTGTTTTCATTGAGTAATGTGCTGCATATTCCAGTAGACAGAGTATTTCCACATGTGTGCATGGAAATACCAAAGAACACAAACTCCTGTCTTGCTGCAATTCCCATCCTTCAGGTGAGATCTCACTCTTCTAGAATCAAAAAAGGAGCTAGAGAAGGGGAAATTTGATTTTCAGGTATGTCACTCAACTAAGTAAAACTCAAATGATGAGTTGTCTGTGAATGAAAAGGAACATCACTTATTGTAATGCAGTAGTATTCTGATTTTTCTTCCCTGAAGTTGATCACCTTAACACAGGATTTACAGACCTGAAGCTTACAGGTCACACACCAAGCATGCTGCTCTTAGCAGGGTATTATTGCAGAGTACTGTTGGCAATGACCAAAAGACTTATTTTTTCTGCAGAATAGTGGAATGTTACTCTCACAGATGTCTCCTGTGCAGTGGAAATAGGTGCAGATACAAAGGGATGCCCTTGGCTATGAAAAGTGAAAACGGAAGAGGGAAAACTCTTGGCCAGCTGGTCCCTTCAGGGCGCTGCAGAATTTCTCAGAGCACAGCGAAGCGCTGGCCACCCGTTTCTCTGACAGACCATCATTTGCATCTCATTTACACAGAAAGCATTTAATCTCCTAACCAGTCAGCAGCATTCCCGTGGGTTGTGCCCGTGGAGATTCCCTGGCCCTCAGCCGACGAGAGGCTCGGCTGCCGGGAGCGCTGCCCGCAGCCGGCGGGCCCAGGGCGGCCGTGCTCCATCTTCCACCCGAGCCTGGCTCCCGGCCACAGAGCACCACTCGCGTTTCTCCTGCTCCAAGAGCCCGGCCGGCCACCGGAGGCACGTTCTCCTCCGGGCTCCTTTCCACAGAGCAGTCGGACCCGTGGCCGGGCCGCACGGGCCCTTACCGAAGCCCCGGGGAGACCGTTCCGTTCACGGCGCCGGGCCCCTCCAGCCCCGCGCTGCCCGCTCCGCGCTCCGGGCCCAGCTCCCGCCCAGCCCCGCTCCCCTCCCCCCGGCGCGCAGTAGGCTCCGCCCCCGACCGGCACTTGACGGACGGGCGGAGAAGCCAATGGCCCGCGGGGCACGTGCGCGCGGCAGCCAATGGGTGTCGGCGGGCGGCGCGGGGGCGGGGCCGTGGCGCTGGAGCGGCTCGTTGTGCGCTGCGGACCGATCGCCTCCCGCTGCCCGGGCCCGGCCGCCGCCGCCGCAGG